AGATCTCAGCCTCACAAGTCACTAGGATTACAGTCATGAGCCACCAGCACCTAGCTCCTTGATGCATAAATAAATAAATAGGAAGGAAGGAACCAGAAAACCATGAGTAATGTTTCTATGTCTCACTAGAATAAAATTTTAAATATTTAGGAAAAATAGCATATGGTAAATTTTGATGACCTCAGAATTGGCAATAGATTCTTAGATATAATACCTAAAGTATAAGCAAAAGTAAAAATAATTTAACAAAATAAGAAACTTTTGTTTTAGTGCTAAGAACAGAACTCCATGGCCTTGCACATGCTAAACACTTGGCTGCATCACTGAGTTATACCCCCATAATAAAAAGAAAAAAATTTGTGCTTCAGAGAATACTATTAGGAACCTAATGAGAAAACTCGCACAGTAATTTAAAAAATGCTGCAGCAAAATGGATGGAGCTGGACATCATATTAAATGAAATTAGCCAGATTTAGAAAGATAAGGATTCTAAGTTTTCTCTCATAAGAAAAAAAAATCAAGATTTTATGACAGGAAACCACAAGTCATGGCTAATACCCGAATTCTTAGCTATTTGGAAGGCTAAAATGTAGAGGATTGCAGTTCAAAGCCAGATTGGGCAAAAAATGCTTGAAAGACTTTTTTTTAAAGCTATTAGCTGGATGTGTTAGACAGTACCTAACATTCCCGATATATGGGAAGTTCAGATTAGGAGGATCATGTTTCAAGGCCAGTCCAGGTGAAGAATTTTGGAAGAGTCTAGTTTTTTTTTTTTGGGGGGGGGTCCGGTAGCGGGGCCTGAACTCTGGGCCTGGGCACTGTCCCTCAGCTCTTCAGCTCAAGGCTAGCGCTCTACCACTTGAGCCATAGCACCACTTCCGGCTTTTTTTTTTCTTCTTATGTAGTGCTGAGGAATTGAACCCAGGGCCTCATGCATGCAAGGCAAGTGCTCTACCACTAAGCCACCTTCCCAGCCCCGGAAGAGTCCATTTTAATGAACCAAGCTGGGTACAGTTGGTATGGCAGAAGTATAAACTAGAAAAGGCATGATTCAAATTTGGATTTGGCAAAAAGCAAGACACTGTCACAAAAAAATTGAGCATAAAAGGGTTAGAAGAAGCTGGGTACCAGTGAGTGACTCATGCCTATAATCCTAGCTACTCAGGAGGCTGAGATCCAAGGATTGCAGTTCAAAGTCAGCCCAGGCAGGAAAGACCACGAAACTTTTTTAATAAGTTTTTTATTGTGAAAATACTGTACAGAGGGGTTACAGTTACATAAACAAGGTAATGAGTACATTTCTATGGAACATCGTTATACCCTCCTTTGTTTTTCCCCTACTATCCCTTCCCTCCCATCTCCACAGCTACAATCCCCCCACACCTAAATTGTAAAGTTCATTTTTCGACATAATATCTTGTACATTTCATTGTTACAATGGGTCAACCTCTATCCCTATTTAAACAACTTGTTTTTTCCCTTCCCCTCCTCAAATTATATCAACATCTAATACAGTGAAAACAGGGGTTATACCATGGGGGAGGGACATACAAAGCAACAAAAAAAATCACCTGGTACCTTGTAATACATTAGAAACAACAGCAAGAAAGAAAAAACCACTTGTGTCCTTATGTTGGGGTTCATTTCACTTAACATCATCTTATCTGACCTTTTCTGCTTGGAAAGACCATGAAACTCTTATCCCCAATAAACCACAAGAAAACCAGAAGTGGTAGAGCACTAGCCTTGAGCTGAAGAGCTGAGGGACGGCACCCAGGCCCAGAGCTCAATGCCCATGACTGACAAAAAAGGAGGGGGGGCTGGAAGACATAGAATGCCAATCAAATGAAACTCAGAATGTTATTATATAAATAAATAAGTAAATATTTTAAAAGATATGAATGCAGAGGAGGCATATGGAAAAGGAATGTCCAGTAGGAAGCAAAAAAGGTCATACTGAGACATATTATTGTTGAAAAGGATGACACTGATCAATACATGTTGCTATAAACTGCTTTGTTAAATGGTAAATCCTTTGTTGAACTGCTTTATGATAATAAAAAGAAAAAAGAATTAAAAAATAAAAGAAAATATGTTAAAAATAATTTTTAAAATGCAAATTAACTGATAAAGGACTTATATCTACAATATGCAAAGAACTCTTATACTTCAATAACAAAAAATCCTGAGCTAGGGGTGCAGTTTAGTCATAACTCCATCTCCAACTAACCAGAAGAATGCTGACTGGAGGTATGACTCAAGAGCGAAAATGCCAGCCATGTGTAACCAAGCCAAGCAAAATCCTGAGGCCCTGAGTTCAAGCTCAGTACAGGAACAAAAAAGTTGTCTTTCTCTACTAATAGGACTCTAGAAGGGCTGGAGATAATATTCTTGGAAGCATAATTGTCAAATAGAACTTTCTATGAAGATAGAAGTTCATTATATATGCTCACACAACAATCACAAGCCACATGTAACTCTTGAGCCCCTGAAATGTGGCTACTGCACCTGACGAATTAAATGTGTAAATAAATTTCTTTGGTGTGTGTGTGTGTGTGTGTGTGTGTGTGTGTGCGCGCGCCCTGGGCTTGAACTCAGGGCCAGGGTGCTGTCCTTCAGCTTTTTTTGCTCAAGGGTAGTGTTCTCCACACACTTAACTGGTATTTAACTAGCAATAAAAGAGCCTCATGTCCTTTCTACCCTGGTCTGGCTTCAAACCTAATCTCTAGATCTCAGTCTTCTGAGGAGCTAGGATGACAAGCATGATTCACTGGTGCCCAGCTTGTACTGTTAATTTTAATAACCACATCAAGCTAATGGCTACCACTGTACACAACTCAAGGGCTTAAAAAATACATTTACAGTTTATCTCAATAATCACATACATGTGGGAGTGTGAATACACATAAAAATAATAAAATGTTATTGGTTTAATGAAAAGGTACTAGAGTTTCTTTTTTACTATACTAAATTTTACCTAAAAGAAAATGCTGATCCAGCCAGACATTTTATTGGTAGCTCTTGCCCGTAATTCTAGCTACTCAGAAGGCTGAGACCTGAGGACCAAGGTTCAAAGCCAGCCTGGGCAGGAAAGCCCATGAGACTCATCTCCAATTAGACACCCCAAAAAGCTGAAAGTGGAGCTGTGGTTCAAGTGGTAGAGCACTAGCCTTGAGCACAAAAGCTCAGGAACAGCACTGAGCCCCAGGACCAGTACAAAAAAAATGAAAATGCTGATCCAAACCCTTAATATAATTTTATAACACTATAACGAGGTTTGTTTATGTTCTAAAATATGCTATATAAAATGACAAATGATACCAACTATTCTGGTCAGATTAGTGCACATAAACTACACATATGAAATCTCATACTATACCCTTCAAAAATATTTTTGGCAGTATGGGAGTTTGAGCTCAGTGCCTTGAACTTGCTAGGCAGGGTTACTGCCACTGAGCCAAGTCTCCATTCCAAATTTTTTTTGTTTTAAAAACTGTACAGGGGATGGGAAGGTGGCTCAGTGGTAGAGTGTTTGCCTTGCATGCATGAGGTCCTGGGTTCGATTCCTCAGCACCACATAAGCAGAAAAAGCCACAAGTGATGCTGTGGCTCAAGTGGTAGAGCACTAGCCTTGAGGTGAAGAGTTGAGGGACAAGCGCCAGGCCCAGAATTCAGGCCGATGACCAACACACACACACACACAAATATTGTACAGTCCTTGAAAGTATAACTCTTATATTTCCCCTGGTCTTCTATTATCAAACAATATTTAAACGTATAGTGTTGTTGAAAAAGAAGTTTGCTTGTCAAAGGAATCTGACAATACTTTTAGAATATTATGCATAAAAATCTGTATTTCCAAAGTCTATTAAATAATTAGATGATCTTGTAACATTGGTCTTTTATTCTTTTGGTGGCACAGGCCTTTGAACTCAGGGCTTCATACATGTTAAGAAAGAAAGTGTCCTGGTCCGGTGTTGGTGGATCACGCTTGTAATCCTAGCTACTCAGGAGGCTGAGATCTGAGGGTCAAGGTTCGAAGCCAGCCGCGGTAGGAAAGTTGGTGAGACTCTTATCTCCAATAAGCTACTCAGAAAAAGCCGGAAGTGGCCTTGTGGCTCAAGTGGTATAGTGCTTGTATCAAAGAGGCTCGGGAACAGTGCCCAGGCCCTGAGTTCAAGCCCTAGGACCGGCAAAAAAAAAAGGGGGGTTCTACCATTTGAGTCACACCCCCAGTCGACAGTTGACAATATTTTTTAAAAAGACTGATAAATAAGTGGTGGTATTTACACTTTTTGTCGATGCATAGGGAAAAGTTACACTGAAGTACAGCAAGATGGGTTGTTTTAAAACTGCTCTTGAGTGAAAACTAATAACGGACACAACTATTAAGGCAATGTCATATAACCGTTGCAACACTCCTAAAGTAAGTAAACAGACTTAACGGCTTCCAAGCACACAGAGAACCCACTGAAGACTCAATTCAAAAGCCAATCATGCTTCTATCTTAATGTAGAGTTTTGAGGAGGAAGATAATGATGGCTTTTGCCTATCAGACAGCACGCCTGTCAGCAAGGGAGTTAACTGGTGCTAATTCAATTTGCCACTTGTTTAGAAGCGGCGTGCAGTTGTTTGCTCTTCTTAAAATATCTTTCTAAACTGTTCTTTCCGACTAAGGCAAAGCTGAACCAAAATTAACACCCAATTCGAAGACAACCCTTATAGAGAGTCGTTAACATCAGAAAGATCTGTAGATCTTACTAGAGACTTGGGGCGCACCAAGTACCCTCCGCCCAGAACCATCCCCCTCCCGCCTCGCTCCGTTCCTCCGTTTTCACTCCTTCCTCAAAGTTATTAAGTTGAATTTCCATCACTTACTGAGGCTCTGAGCTCGTCCCCACCACCTTTCCTCTAGGTGCTCTCTCTGACCCGAGGTCAAAGGGGCAACCTTTCCCCAGTCAGGTCCTTCACCCTGCAAGTCCACGGCAATGGCAGCTCACCTGGTGCTTACGAGCACTTCCTGATGCGCCACGCTGACCCAGCCTCCACTGCCGACTCGAGCCGCCCCCAGAAACCAGCGGCCGAAACAGAATTGCTGAATGCCGGCGCTTTTCGAAAGCAGCTCCCGCGGCTGCCCAGCGCCAAGAATGGATCGCGAGCAGCGCCATCTTGAGCGAGGAAAGAGGAACCGAGCGCGGGGGATTATGGGACACCAGCGGACTGAGCGCTCACACCTTAAGCTTCGTTCCCCTCCCCCTCACCACCACCCCCACCTCCGCTCCTCTGGATCCGACACCGGAAATAGCTCCTGGCTGACCGTTCAGGTGTGTCTGTGTCACCTTGTTATTTTCCCTCTGGGGCTAGGCTTTAGTTTTGTTTTGCTTTGCTTTGCTTTCTCTCACACAACCAATAACATTATCTTTTTTCTCCTTTTCTGAGGTTGCTAGATTAAAATATAGGATGCCCAGTTAGGTTTGAATTTCACATAAAAAGTTCTTTCTTGGAATGTCTCAATTACTGCATTTGGTAAATCTTGCAACCCTATCTTGTAGGTTATTCCACTTTTCTCTTTACTATATCCAACTCAATGCCACTGGACTCTCCGATTTCCCTGTGTGTATTTTTTTTTTTTCAGTGGTGCGGATGAAATCCAGCTCCCCTAGTAGTCCTGAGGCTTAAACTCCTGCTCTGGGCACTGTCCCTGAGCTTTTTTTTTTTTTTTAACTCAAAAATAATGCTGTACCACTTGAGCCACAGCTTCACTTCTGCTTTTTGGTAGTTAATTGAAGAGTCTTTCAGACTGTACTGCCCAGGCTGGCTTTGAACCATGATCATCAGATCTCAGCCTCCTGAACAACGAGAATTACAGGGGTGAACCACTGGCACCCCCACACTTGCATACTATTTACCATCACTCTCCATGTGCACTAATGCTTAGGATAGATTGAACTACAGACATTAATTTTCTCCTTAGGAGGAGGTTTCATCATTGAGATTCATTGCCTCCCTTGAAACATTTTTCTTACTATGATAATTGTTCTATTTCCTAAACCTTAGGCCTATTGTTCTTGGGGTACACATATGCAAATGCACGTTTTGCTTTTCTAGTTTCCCTCTTTCTAACCCTTCCCTTTGGCCTCTGGGGGCTTTAAAAAACTGCTAGATTGGTAATATGGGATAGTAATTGGGTGAGCATGTTAAATAGAGAAGTATTTATTTAAAGACAAGTTTGTGTTTTTTTCATGTACATTGATCAAATTCACCCTGCTGTATTATTCTTTTTTTGGGGGGGGGGTCCAGTCATGGGGCCTGAACTCTGGGCCTGAGCACTGCCCCTCAGCTCTTCAGCTCAAGGCTAGCACTCTACCACTTGAACTACAGAACCACTTCCAGCTCTTTTTTTCTGCTTATGTGGTACTGAGGAATCGAACCCAGGTCCTCATGCATGCAAGGCAAGCGCTCTACCACTGAGCCACCTTCCAAGCCCACTGTATTATTCTTTTTTGAACCTCCCCAACTCCTCTCCCTCCAGACTTCGATTCTATAATCAAACTACCATCAAAATTTTACAATTATCTGGGAAACTAATTTCCAAGTAAAAATGTTAATTGAAACCCTAGAGACAATAAGACAGTTACAGTGGCAGTTTTATACTCACTGATGCATTCTCAAACCTTTCACACAAGACAGTCGAGTAATTACGAACTTTTTTTTGTTATTAAGGTGTTGTCAGAGGAGTTACCATTTCACAAGTCAGGTAATAAGCACATTTCCTTTTGCATATGTCAGTCTGAATTTTTTTAATTATGAACCTCTTTATGAAGAGGCACTGTAAACTGAAGATAAGTCTAATGAAGATACACCATATATATATATATATGTATATATATATGAAAGGATACTTAAGCTAGTCATTTATAGAAGAATAGAATTTCAAAATGAAGATTTTCACTTGAAGGTGGCATGTAAGCCACTATCTTTACAGTGTTTAAAATACTGTTATAATCTGGTTCTGATGACTCATGCCTGTAACCTCAGCTACTGAGGAGGCTGAGATATGAGAATCTTGGCTTGAAGCCAGCCCAGGCAGACAAACCCAGAGACTATTGTTTACAATTAACCACCAAAAAAGCTGAAACTGGAAGTGGTACAGCATCAGCCATAAGCCTAGCAAGAGGCTCTAAGTTTAAGATCAAGTACAAGCACGTACGCGTACTTGCATGCATACACACGTGTGCATGCGCGCACGTGCACACACACACACACAAATTAGAAATAGCCAGGAATTGGTGGCTCACACTTGCAATCCTAGCTACTCAGGAGGCTGAGATCTGAGGATCATGATTCAAAGCCACTGAGGCAGAGAAAATCCATGAAATCCTTACATTCACTTAATTACCAAAAAGCTAGAGGTGGAGCTGTGGCTCAAGTGGTAGAGTGCTAGCCTTTAGCTAAAAAGTTCAGGGACAGCACCGACATCCTACATTCAAGCCCCAAGATTGGCACCAAAATTAAGTAAAATAAAATATAAAAAGGAAAATAGCATGTTAGAAAGCAAGGAGACATTAAAAAAAAACTTATTCAAACTCGGGAGTCCAAGGATTGTATAACAAATTAGTAAGAGATGTGCTTGGGTAAACAGAGGCTTTCTTTTGAAGGTCCTTGTATTTCATTCTAACAAACCAATGCTTTGAAGTGAAGCTACTGAAGGATTTTAATCAAGAGAGTAAAATTTGTATGTTCATTAAACCACTCTGATTTAAGTGGGAAGGTTGGATTGGAAGGAATTCAGATTGCAGTCCTAAGGTTAATGCACTAATTCATTCACAAAATTGAGGCTTGAACTTGACAGTAGATCAATTATAGAGCTATGAAGAAAAAGGTAGAATTGACAGGACTTAACTAATTGGATGTTTCCAGCCTATTATTCCTTGTTGACCATAGACCAGTAATGATCCCCTTTATTAATGACCATCATCATCAATAAATACATATTCACCATCTTTCTGAGTTAAACAATAACAACCTGCACCCCCTACCAATTATTTCAATGTTACAACTTAGATAAGGCATTGTCCAGTGAGTGCTAACTGAAAATAAACCTCTGGAGGCAAGGGGTTGTGCTGGCATGGAGGATACCAAAAAAGAATAAAAACCTCTGTAAGAAATATTTTGTGAGAAATTGTTGGCTATCATGTTATGAAATAATATATTACATGTTTATGCTTTCAGAACCTTATACATTGCCTTGATGGATTTTAATAACAGTTTTCTATGGATGTTATCACCTATTCTTAGTTGATAAAGAGGACCAGAGTCTTGTGATGATAGAACCATAGTAAACTGGATTCTGATCTACTGTGGGTAGCCACTAAAAGATGTTGCCTACACTTAAACACAGAAGTTAATAAAAGTCCCTAGAGTCCATAACAGAATCATAAGATTTTAAATAAGAAAAGACTTCAGATTCTGAAATACCTATAGCTGATTCTACAGATGATTTCTCAAAAGCTTACAGAGTTTTATTAGAAATACCTACAGACGGAAGTGGCGCTGTGGCTCAAGTGGTAGAGCACTCGCCTTGAGCTGAAGAGCTCTGGGACAGCACGCACAACCCCCACAACCGACAAAGAAAGAAAGAAAGAAATGCCTACAGGCATTATTGGTGTAGAAAAACAGTTGGGGCCAGCCACTGGTGACTCAGGCCTATAATACTAGCTACTCAAGAGTCTGAGATCGCAGTTCGAAGCCAGTCAGGACAAAAAAGTCCATGAGATTCTCTTTTTTTGTTGTTTTAGAGATGATATAGAGCAGGGTTAACTTTACATATATCAGGTGATATATACATTTCTTTCCTTTTGCTTGTTATTAGCTGTTCCCTCCTTCTCTTTCCCTCCACTGTGAGATTCTTATCTCCGACAAACTGCTCGGAAGATGCTGGAAGTGACACTGTGTCTCAAGTGAAGAGCACTAGCTTTGAGCCAAAGAAGCTCAG